AAAGCATCAGACTGTGAAGGAGCAGAAACAGACAGCATCCTGTGATGTGGATAGGGGATTGGGTGTGGTGGAACCCTCCTTGGAGGAGCTGAAGGTTAGAGAGAAGAATCTCCAAGGCAAAAGTTGGAGGCAGGCTGGAAGTCACCTTGGCTAGCTAACATTGAGCAAGGAGGTAGGGAGAGAGCAAGGCCAGCCCTGCAGGGTCTCTGTGGCAATGGGTGGCACCTTGCTTTATCTTGGTATGACCTGGATCACCTCAGGAGACTCAGCAGGAGATTTAGGCATGATCTGATCTAATGTAGCAGCAGATGCCACTCCATGGGGTTAGGACTGGCATAGGGAAGCTTTTCCCCTAGAGGTGAACTTGGAGTTGGAAGGATGGCAGGATGGCTGGGGTAGTGGGCAGGTTGAGCCCCAGGCAGAGAGGACAGCCTCAGGGAAGGGGAGAGCATGTCTAGTGTGTTAGGATGCCTTCAGGGTCTGCTGCCCAGCTCAGCAAGAGGGAGAGGGGCAAGATCCCAAGGATAGCCAGAAAGAAAGGGAAGGAGACAGCAGGGGGGTGATGAGGATATGGGAAGGGAGTAGTCAGCTTGGCCAGGTGCTACCACAAGGTCATAGTGTATGATGCTATGGATTTGACACCGTGAGACCTTGGAACCTTGGCACAAAAGTACCTACAGGGAGGTCTGGTGCAAGGCAGAAAGCAGGAAAGTGGAGGTGGTGGGGGGAGAGAGTACAGAGGCCTCTCTTAAGCTAATGGGTCCATGTGCCCCACCCGGGCAGCCTGGGATTGACACTCATCACCTACCTGCAGTGTCCTGGCGGAACCTTCACACCATCCATGAAGTCCACCAAAGACTATCCTGATGAAGTGATCAACTTCATGCGTAGTCACCCACTTATGTACCAGGCCATATACCCCTTGCAACGGCGGCCATTGGTGGTCCGCACAGGTGCTCCCTACCGTCTCACTACTGTTGCTGTGGACCAGGTGGATGCAGCTGATGGGCGCTATGAGGTGCTTTTCCTGGGCACAGGTACCCACTACTGCTTCCAGCCCCTCTGACACTGGGCCCACTGGGTAGGGGGTGCTGGTCCCCGGGGTTGGAACCTGCCCTCCTATGGATTACTATGGGCTCATCAGGTCAGCTCTGTCATACTCATCTTTGGGAATCTCCCTTTTGCCAGGATAGCTGAGGCTAAGGATGGAAAAACTCCATTCTCACCCTCAGAGGAGCAGGGACACTGGATACCTGGTAGCCATAGTATGACAGAAAAGGGGTTGAGATAGATGGCAGGCACTTAGGATAACCCAGATCCAAATACTAACACACATGCTGGCATATGTACACATATGGAGAAATGCACCCACAGTTCTAGCAACTCCCGACACAAAGGAATGCCCCAGTGTCCTGTTCTCAGCAGGGCCCAATATGGGGTAAGGGAGGCAGACCCTGGCCGTGACCTCCTTTATCCTGAACCCAGGGAAACCCTTTAACCTTGGCAAGGAATGCCTGCTCCACTGCCCTGAGGGATTTGGGGTCCTGGTGGGGAAGGGGCTGAAGCTTTGCCCCTTCCCCAGTGTCCCCAGCCCCACTGAGGTCCTGCCCGGCCCGTTCCAGACCGCGGGACAGTGCAGAAGGTCATTGTGTTGCCTAAGGATGACCAGGAGGTGGAGGAGCTCATGCTGGAGGAGGTGGAGGTCTTCAAGGTGGGTTTGGTCCTGTCTTCCCCACTTTGACCCTCCCCAGTCCCTTTCCCTGACTTTAGACCTCAGGGCAGGGAGGAGGTCCCAAGGTCCCAAGCTGATCCCTGTCTTCTTCTAGGACCCAGCACCCATTAAGACCATGACCATCTCTTCCAAGAGGGTGAGTCTTTGACAATGTGGGCTAGGGGGTATCAGGATGGAACCCACATTCCCTTGGGGGGGGGGTCACACCTTTGGCATACGGATGGGGAAACTAAGGCATGGAACAAGGAAGAAAAGAAGCCCAGACCAATGATGTGGGTTATCTTTGGAAAAGGAACTGACAAGCCCTTGCCCCTGCTCCTAGCAACAACTGTATGTGGCCTCAGCAGTGGGTGTCACACACCTGAGCCTGCACCGCTGCCAGGCATATGGGGCTGCCTGTGCTGACTGCTGCCTTGCCCGGGACCCTTACTGTGCCTGGGATGGCCAATCCTGCTCCCGCTATACAGCATCCTCCAAGAGGTATGGATCCCCAGACACTAAGAATTTTAGTCCCTGTCCTGGTCATTTGGAGGTAAATGTGCATTACCCTGGGAGGGTGTATGGATAAGACATCACTACACTGGGAACATAGGGCCCTGCCTTGGAGTGTTGGGGATACAGGGACCTGAGGGGGAAAGCTTCCTGGGGACACTCCCTTAAGAGCTATCTTCATCCAGGCGGAGCCGCCGGCAGGATGTCCGGCATGGGAACCCCATCAGGCAGTGCCGTGGGTTCAACTCCAATGGTGAGTGAGTGTGTTGTGCCTCCCACTGGGTGCTCCTCATGGTGCACAGCCCCATGCAGCCCATGAAACTGCTTACAGGGTCCCCACCGTAAGGACGCAAGTTGGTTAGTGGTGGGTGAGGGTACTGGGGGTTTTTGATTAGGATGTCCCTGGTCACCCCCTCAAGGAGTGGATGCCCAGTGGTGCCTTTCTGCCTTTGAGGGTAGGTGCCCTGGGTGCCAGCCCCTCCCTAGTCAACACTCTGCCTAGGGCAAGGTTGCTTCCACTCAGTGCCTACTTGATCCACAGCCAACAAGAATGCTGTGGAGTCTGTGCAGTATGGTGTGGCAGGCAGCACGGCCTTCCTTGAATGCCAGCCTCGCTCACCCCAAGCCACTGTTAAGTGGCTGTTCCAGCGAGATCCTGGTGACCGGCGCCGAGAGGTGAGTTCCTGTGCTCACAGTGCTGCACCATGGATGTGGGAGTCCCTTGTACAGTGGAAATTCCACATGGGTGAAATGTAGTGTAGGAGCCAATCTGGAGATGTCCTCATGCTATGAAACCCCTTCTGAGCTTCTTTCCCTATATGGAAATAATTTGAGTGCAACTAGTTATGTAGAAACTCTGCAGGATAGGTGTCATTATAGAGCAACCATTTATAGGCATGCCTCTTCATAAAAATTCCATATGCATACCCCATTGGAGTATGCCTCCATGTATGGAACATCATGTGGGTGAGCTCTAGTATATGGTTCTATGGTAGCCCTCATTTTGTGGAAAATTCTTACAGGTGTCCCTCTTTACATGAACATTCTATGTGGGTGCCACATTCGGGTATTCTCATTAAATGAAAATTCTGTGTGTGTGCTCCAAAATTCTCTCGTTCATTGTACAGAACCCTCATAGGGTCATCCCTCCTGAAATGGAAATATGTGCCGATACCTTATTCAGATATTTCTCATTTATGTGGAGACTTCATGTAGGTTTTTTTTGGTATATGGAAATTCCACGTGGGTACCCCTACGTGAAATGGCTACAAAGGTGGTCTCATCTGGAAGCTGGCTAGGGCAGCAAAGTGGTCATCCAGCCGCTGAGCCCCGCCCCTGCCCCTGCAGATCCGTGCAGAGGACCGCTTCCTGCGTACAGAGCAGGGCTTGTTGCTTCGCGCCCTGCAGCTCGGTGATCGTGGCCTCTACTCCTGCACGGCCACTGAGAACAACTTCAAGCACATCGTCACGCGGGTGCAGCTGCATGTACTGGGCCGGGATGCCGTCCATGCTGCCCTCTTCCCCCCACTGCCTGTGAGCGCCCCACCACCCCCTGGCACAGGCCCCCCCACGCCTCCTTACCAGGAGCTGGCCCAGCTGCTCGCCCAGCCAGAAGTGGGCCTCATCCACCAGTACTGCCAGGGTTACTGGCGTCATGTGCCCCCAAGCCCCAGGGAGGCTCCAGAGGTACCCAGGCCTCCTGAGCCCCAGGACCAGAAAAAGCCCCGGAATCGCCGGCACCACCCTCCGGACACATGAGGCCAGCTGCCTGAGCCCTGTGTGGGGCCAGCCTAGCCCTCATTCCTTTTAATATAAAAGATATATATATATATATATATAAAAAAATCTATATTCTATACACACCCTGCCCCTGCAAAGACAGTATTTATTGGTGGGTTGTACATAGCCTGCCTCAGCAGCAGCTTCATCCAGAACTTAGACCCATGCTGGTCAGAAATGGCAGAAAACCCAGCCCACCTAATCAGGCCCCGTGAGTTGGCAGGGCCAGGCCAGGACCACACAGTCCCCAGACTCATCTGGAAGTCTGCTTGTTTGAAGGCCGCCAAGATCTACAGAACACAGGAAAGGAACAAGCCCTACTTGAAGGGCCATGGACCATACATCTTTGCCAATGTGTGCTGTCAATTGTGCTGTGGTGTAGGCACGAATGCTAGGACTGCTTTGGAGTCTGGGTGTGGGGGCTCAGGGCACTCAGAAGGCAAGAAGGGGTCATCACAGGATGCTGGCCCCTGCCTGGTTGGGGGCACTTAGTCGAGGCCAGCCCTTCCCAGGTATTTATTCTCTATTTATTGGGGGCAGGAGGAGTCCTACCTGGGTGGGGCAGGATCTTCAGCTCCTTCTCCCCTCTCTGCCTGGACAGCAGTGCTGCCCCATTCTACCTCCTTAGCTTTTCCTATGCTACCTTGACTTGGAGGCTGGGAAAACAGCAATGGGGCCAAGTACAGGCAGGGCTGAAGGGAGTCCCAAGTCGTGAGGGGAGAGGGGCCATTGTGGAGGCCTGGGGCTTGTAGGGGCTCCCCAGGGCCCCCTTCTGCCCACCACTTCAGGCAGTGGGTGTAAATAGCTCTGGGGGCAGTTGGGTAGGTGGGTGGGGGCTCCTGGCAGCCCTCTGCTGCCCAGATCACAGTCACCCTTGGGTTCCATCTTGTTAATAAACACTGGCTCTGGGACTAGACTTTGGCTTCTCTCCTTGGTGGTGGTTGTGGTGGGAGGGGTTAGGGCCACACCTGGTGGGTAAGGGGAGACAAGTGGGGAGCTGGGAGATAGCAGGTTGGCCCCACTTTTAAAAGCCCAGTTTTTTTGAAACCAGGTCTAGTTTAAGCAGCCTGAGTTCCAGTACTACTCTAGTCCCTAGGCAGTGTGAAGGGTCTCAGAGACTTTTGGGGCCACTTACAGTGTGGAAATAGGGGGTGGAGCCCAAAGGCAGAAACTGGCACAAATGAAATAGTCTTGCTTCTAAATAGATCCCATCCAACAGGGATAATGCTTATGGCAAGAGCCAGTGTCCACTTCCTATGCATCCTGTTTAGAGAAGAACTCAGAGCTCAGTGTCTGGTACCCTGGCACCCCCTTGTGGTCTTTTGAGTCAGTGGCAGGGTTAAATACTAAATGGCAAACAGGTTTCAGGAAAGGAGTCCAGCCAGGAGGCTCTGGGCCCATGTAGATAGCCTTAAGAGCTGATTTGGGTTGTCTGATGGGGTTGGGGGTGGGAAATCTCCAGAGCCTGGGAACTCAGTCTGCAACTCAACCTGAACTACTTCACCAACAATGTGGTGCAGCTGAACAGAGCTTCAGGCTCTGCAACCAGGCAGGTAGGCTCTAAAAGCAACCCTAGGCAGGTCCTAGAGCCAGAACAGGAGCAGGTATTATGGAGAGCCCCACTTCTCCATGATTTCAGGAGTACCAAACCTGCTCTGGGGCTTGGTTTCCCCCATCTGACAACTGACTGGAAAAGATTCACTTGAAAAACCTTGCCACCTCTGCAGATCAGAGACTGTTGCACCAAAATACGTATGTATATATACGTACAGGAAATTATATATGCACACATACAACCACACACAAATGCTCAGGTATACAACTGTGCTCACACATGCACACAGGCAGATAAACTCTAACATGCTTTGCACAGGAATATGCATTTGCACATTCAAGCGCACAAGTGAACTCACACAAGCACATGTGCCTGTGAAGGGAAATGCATAGGGGGCTGGAAATGTTACTCAATAGTAGAGTATGTGTGAGGCCCTGGTGATCCCCAGCAGAGAAAACACACAATAGCACGCACGTGTATATTTGTGTGTACATGTAAAACTGCACACAAAGTTACATGAATACTCACATGCACTAAAAAGCATAAGCACACATGTATACAGTGGTATACAAGCACAAACCTGTCAAGCCATTACCTTGCTCGGTGCCAGTAAAGAACAGAAACTTACATTCAGGCACATGTAGCTGATGTGCATGCCTACCATGCCTACCAGGGTCCATCAGAAGCATGTAGAGGCCCTGCTCAGGGTCAGATCTAGCCTTCAGTATGGGGTAATTGCAGAGTAAGCCTTTTGCCCCATGATTCCCAGCAAGGCATAGAACCCTGGTCTGGAGTTAACTCTCTCTTCTCATCCACTGCCTCAGTGTACTCCTGTGAGCCTCCACTTATTCATCAGTAAAACGGAGCTCATGATAAGGACAGCCGTCTCCTAGGACCAATATGAGCTTACAAAATAAGGAACAAGCAGTGCTGAGTCCAGTGCTGGGCAAGTGGCAGGTGCTCCATGCCTATTTCTCCCTCCATTTCCTCTTCCTGTCATCCCCCAGGGCTCCAGGTCCTGTCCTCCCCTTTCTTTAATTTTTTTTAAATGTGCTGAGGTTCGAACCCAGGGCTCACATGTGCTAAACGAGTGCTTTACGGTTGAGCCCACAACCTCAGCCCCCTTTCTTGGTCTTACCATACCAAATATGTCTTACTGTAGTGGGACAGGGGAAGTACTGTTCAAGCCCTATCCTAGAGGGATGGAGGGAGGGAGCAGAAGGGATGCAGAGTCAGCGGTTGAGGGATTGGGGACATGCCAGCCTGATTAGAAGGGTTGGGGGACTGAGCTGGCTTCACCTGTCCTTGTCTCTGATTGGGCCTTGGGCATCCTAACTCTCAAATCCCACTAAGCAGCCCCCACCAGGGCAATCTCCAGAGACCTATTAAGGTCTCTGGAGAGTCAGTTGGTTGCCAGTCTTGGGGCCAGAAGAGAGTCTCTGGAGGCCAGAGGCTGGCCTGAACCAAGTTCTTGGGATACCCTCCATTCAGAAGAGCCACCTGCTCACCTTGTCCCTTCACCTGCTGCTGGGGTCATGGGGGCTGGGGCCAGCGCAGAAGAGAAGCACTCCAAGGAGCTGGAAAAGAAGCTGAAAGAGGATGCTGAGAAGGATGCTCGAACTGTGAAACTGCTGCTTCTGGGTAGGGGTGTGGGCCTTGGTGGGGAAGGGCAGCTGCAGTGAGTCAGGGACCTGGAGTCAAGTGGGCAGCCCTTCTATGAGGCAGGGGTTCCTTGGGGGGAAAAATAAGCCTTTGATGAGGCAGAACACAGTGTAGGATCCCTGGCCAAGCAAGGCAAGGCCTGACAGTGATGTTGCAGTCCCCCCTAGGCTGGGCATCCCATGGCAATCTCCAGAGAACAGTCATCCCACTGCAGAAGTTTGTGCCAAACATACCTTTGTACAAGTGTGTAGAAGGGATACTTTCAGCTTAACAGGCCAGCTGGGCAGGACTTAGAAACCAAAGGCCTCACTAGGAGCCCCACATAGGGCCACTCCCTTGGGAAGAAATCATCCTGAGAACAGGGATACTCTAGGACCACCCAGATCCCAGATCCCCAAACAATGACTCTCGGATGCCAGAACTTTACTTTTGGCAGACCTGTAAAGCAGCTAAAGTTGGAAAAGTACTGTGGGGAATAGATAAACCTGAGTTTATGGTCCCATGGGTAGTGGAGGGAGATGGGGCTGATCTAATCCTGTCTCAAAGCCACTGCTTAACCCCCCAAGGGGAAGGAGCTGTTTTAAGAGGGTGAGGCAGTCTTCCAAGCCTTCCAAGATCCATCCAATCAGCTGGAGGTGGACAGAGGGACTGAACCAGGGCCCCCAGAGGAACAGCAGAGAAGCTAAGCCAAAATACCATTAACTGTGCCCAGTGCTCCCAAGAGAGCCAGCTCAAAAGGGATGTCATCTCAGTCCTCTCTGCCTCCAAAGGCTCTAATTCCCTCTGAGCCTCTAAAAGACAACCTGCCTTATGGTGAAAGGCAAAGGTTGAAGCAGCTCAAATAATTCTGTGCATGCAGTACCAGAGATTCCCACAAAGTGGAGCTCCAGGATTTCTTTATTTTGGTCTCACAGCATAATAAAGAACGCTTTATACCAGGGTCCTGGAGATTCCCTGGACAGTTAAGTTTTCTGATTTTGTTTATTGGCTCCCTTTTGTCATTGTGCTGACATTTACAAACGTTTTCCGACAGTGCTTAAATGCTTACTGCGGGTGGGGTGAGGGCAGGTATGACTAGGGATCTAGCTGGAGTGCTGGCCCCTTGGATGCGGGTCCAAAGGGATGCCTAACTCCTCTTGTGGCCTCCCTCAGGGAAATGGAGGGGATCCATGCGGCTCTAAAGCGCAGCTTCCCTTTCAGGTGCGGGTGAGTCCGGGAAAAGCACCATTGTCAAGCAGATGAAGTGAGTGCCCCTGCCCTTCCGAAACCCCTGGGGGTGGGTACAAGAACACTGGGACCTATTTTTCACTACTGCCTCACAAGACGCTGACTCTGCTCGCCTTGGCCACAGGATTATCCATCAAGACGGGTACTCGCTGGAAGAGTGCCTTGAGTTCATTGCCATCATCTATGGCAACACTCTGCAATCCATCTTGGCCATCGTGCGGGCTATGACCACGCTCAACATTCAGTATGGAGACCCAGCGCGCCAGGTGCGCCACGAGAAGGGCTGATGGGGCCCCCGGGAACTGGAGGCGCCCAAAAGGGCTCCAATTCGCCGTCCTCAACTACCAATCCCACCTTGTCCCCCAGGACGATGCCCGGAAACTGATGCACATGGCAGACACGATTGAGGAGGGTACGATGCCGAAAGAGATGTCGGACATCATTCAGCGGCTGTGGAAGGACTCGGGTATCCAGGCTTGTTATGAACGCGCCTCGGAGTACCAGCTGAACGATTCTGCGGGCTAGTGAGCTTTCGCAGGCAGGGCGGGAGGGTGCGGGCGGGACTCTTCTGAGCCCCTCTAGCTCACCCACCCACCCACACCCGGTGTCTCCCACAGCTACCTCTCAGACCTGGAGCGCTTGGTGGCTCCGGGCTATGTGCCTACTGAGCAGGACGTGTTGCGTTCTCGTGTCAAGACCACAGGTATCATCGAGACGCAATTCTCCTTCAAGGATCTCAACTTCCGGTAAGATCTGATGCTCTTGCTCAGGACTGCCCTGAGTTCCCCGGAGTTCACAGCCCCTAGACTCGCTCCCTGCCCCTTCTCAGATGCCCTGCCAGAGGAAAGGTCCGGCGCCCCTAGATGCCAGTCCCATCTGAGAGCTCCCCAGCCAGCTCCAGGGAGGAAAGAGAACCCCAGGGAGGCGCTGGAGGCGCAGTTTCAGGTCCCCTATGCCTCACAGGATGTTTGATGTGGGTGGGCAGCGCTCGGAGCGCAAGAAGTGGATCCACTGCTTTGAGGGAGTGACCTGCATCATCTTCATCGCGGCGCTGAGCGCCTACGACATGGTGCTGGTGGAGGATGATGAAGTGGTGAGTGCCAAGCTAGTCCTGAATGTTTGAAGAAGAAAGCGGAACTGGGGAGCATCTGAGAGCAGAGAGTTGTTCCAGGGCGGTCTGGAGGAGGCCAGCAGGCAGCCCGCAGCCCTGCTGGAGGGGGAAATTCGGAGGCTCTCTGCGAACTATGGGAGCCGGAAAACCCTGGGCGGGTCTGTTGGGCGCCGCCCATGTGAGGGCGACTGCTGGTGTCTTCTGGTGCCCGACAGCCGATGCTCTCCTCAGAACCGTATGCACGAGAGCCTGCACCTGTTCAACAGCATCTGCAACCACCGCTACTTCGCCACCACATCCATCGTGCTCTTCCTCAACAAGAAAGACGTTTTCACCGAGAAGATAAAAAAGGCACCCCTAAACATCTGCTTCCCGGATTACGACGGTGAGAGTCCCCAGCCCTGCCACCAGGCGGCGACCCATTCCCATGATCTGGGCCACGCCCCTCCCACCAGGAAGGGCTAAGGCCGGCTGTGAGCGCTCCCCTCTGCTACAGGGCCTAATACATACGAGGATGCCGGCAACTACATCAAGGTGCAGTTCCTGGAGCTCAACATGCGACGAGACGTAAAGGAGATCTATTCCCACATGACGTGCGCCACTGACACACAGAACGTCAAATTTGTCTTTGATGCTGTTACCGATATTATCATCAAGGAGAATCTCAAAGACTGCGGCCTTTTCTGAGGTGGGGTCCTCGCTGCTGGACGCTGGTCTCTCTCCCCTGTTTGTCTTCTGGGTTAGACTCCTCCCTACTCCCTGGAGTCCCGCTCCAATGTCCCCACCGCACAGCTTTCAGGGCCCACTCCGTCCACTTACCCTATAGGCCCCACCTATTTAATATATCGACCCTGCCCCATCTTCACAGGCGTCATATCTTTCAGGGCAGCCCCCAACAAAATGCCTAAATCTATGTGAATCTCAGGGATGCTGACCCAGTTGACTCAGTTTCCTTCTATCTTCACAGATGTCTGAACTGATGAATGTCCCTTGCCCTGTGGCCCTGCAGCCCTAGCTGCCTAGTAGCCACATCCCTGTCCCCCATCAGGTCTCTAGGACTCTTGGACCACAGTCTGCTGCCCCACTAGCCACAAACCCAAAACCCTGAACCCTGAGCCTTGAGTCATAGACCTTCCCCCACTCCCGCAACCCCAGCCCTGCTATTCACCGCCTGGCTGCTCTGGCCTCTTGGACCCACAGCAGCCAGCCACAGCTAGGACATGGCAGTACTTGGGGGCAGTTAGAGCTTACAGTGACTCAGCACTGCCCAACTGACCAATCTCTTGCAGCTGTCCTGCCCTTGGGGACCCACAACTCACCTGGTGGGTCTGGGTTCACCAAACAGCCCTCCCTCCCACAGTTTCATGAAGGTACTCTTGAGATACCCCTCCCCCAAGTAGGCCTGCTGTTACCAGCAGCCGGGCCACCTCCATGTGGCAAGTCTGACACCTGTCTACTCAGTGACCAGTGACTGTCCCTCAGCAGTTTCAGGAATCCAAAGTCCAAGCTGGTCTGTCCAAGCTGAGAGGCTTCCACATAGATAAATTAGTGACTGGAGGTGGAGCTGGGAGTCCCTGGTGCTAGAAAGAGACATAAATTGGACCCTTCCCAAAATACCAGACTCAGAGTACCCCGAGCTCACATCCTTCAGATCTGCCTTTTCTGTCCCTGGATACCAGATCCGGACCATACCCCCACTTCACCCACCCACATATACACAGTACTCCAGGCTGGTCAGCCAGGGGGATGGTGTGTTGAGGGAGCAAACTATTGACCACAGCCTTGGCCAATAGTCAAGCTGTCTTAGGGGGTGGCTGGAGGCAGAGTCCAACTCCCATCGATCAGCCCCAGGCAGAAAATTCAGGATAGGATGGAGGTGTGGGCTGTGCCCAGAGGAGCCTACCTCATGTGGGATTACAGGAAACCCAGGTAACCCTTTTGTCCCTGCTTCTCTCGCCCTCTCCTTCCAGAGCCCATTCTTTGGTAGGGAAAACTGAGAGCCATGCCTGAACCATCAGGGATAAAAATCACATCCCCAACATCCTGCTTCTTCCTTCCTCATCGAGCAGCAAATCTTTGCTTATGCCCATGAGGCAGGGCTGTGCTATAGCTGGGGATAAGGAGCTTTTATCTGGCAAAGCCAGAACATAAACTGCACTTCCCTTAGCTAGATGCACAGCAGACTCAGCAATAAACCTTTGCATCAGGCCCCAGTTGTTCTTTCTTGGGGGAGTGCGGGTGTGGAGAACTTAATTATCATGAGTTGTTGATATTTATTAAGTACCCAATGATGGGCTGGACATGAAATGGGAAGATGACTCCTTCCAGGAAGAAGAGCCTGGCCTGATGTTGGGGACTCTCTTGGTAGTATGGGACCAATTTGTGCCTCTTGAGGGGTGAAGCTATCGGAAATGTTCACTGGGAGAATCTAGAATCAAAAGTGAGTTTTGATCTGGGCGTAGTGGCACACATCTGCAATCCCAGTGGCTCAGGAGGCTGAGGCAGGAGGATTGCGAGTTCAAAGCCAGCCTCAGCAATGGTGAGGCACTAAGCAACTCAGTGAGTTGCTAAACGAAATACAAAATAGGGCTGGGGATGTGGCTCAGTGTTCTAGTGCTCCTGAGTTCAACCCCCAGTCTCCCCCGTCGAAGAGTGAGTTTTGAGGTAGAGCCTCTTTTGATTGGATAAGGCTGGGGAACATGGGAGCTCAGTGGAGCAGGAGTAGGGAAATGGGGAGATGGGGTGGAGAGACAGTGAACTGGTGACAAACACCAGGCCAAGGGCCTATGCTTTCTCTAGAAGGTGATGGAAAATCATGAAAGTTCTTGAAGCTGGGACATAATTATGGCTGGGATTAGGGTAAGGCTAGTAAGGACCTTATGTCTGTTACAGAATGTAAGGGGATGGCCAAAAAAATCAGTAACCAAGATAAATAATATATTAATGCAATGATGTAAAAACTCAGAATTAATACAAAAAATCCACAATGAACCAAATATCAAAATGCAACAGGGGCATACCAAAACATAAGAACCCCAAAGATAAGGGGAAAATATCTACTATTGTATGTGTTTTTATGAGGTTTTATCCTTTTTAAATTTTTTTTTTCAATCAAGAGATTTTATTGGGGGGCTGCCTAAAGGGGAAGAAAAGGAGAGGCAGAGAGAAAGAGAAAAAGCAGAGAGAGGAGAGAGAGAGAGGAGAGAAAGAAGAGGAAGAGGGCAGAGAAGGAAGAGGAAGAGGGCAGAGGGGTTTTATTCATTTTCTGTGGTGAAATTCCCATATCATGGAATTTACCATCTTTGCCATTTTGAAGTGTACATTTCAATGATATCAAATACATTCATAATGTTGTGCAACTATCACCACCATCTATCTCCAGAACTCTTTCCATCTTGTAAAAGGAAAATTCTATATTTATTAAACAGTAACTCCCAATTCTTCCCTTCTCCCAGCCCCTGACAACTTTTGTCTATGATTTTGACTACTCTAAGTACCTGTAAGTAGAATCATACAGTATTTCTTTTTGTGACTGGCTTATTTCACTTAGTATAATGTTCTTAAGGCTCATCCATGTCATAATATTCTTAATCATTTCTTCCTCCCCCCACCATCTTCCTCCTCCTCCTCCTCTTCTTTCTTCTTCTTCTTCTCTGATACTTGGGATTGAACCCAGGGGTGCTTTACCACTGAGTTACATGCTACACCCCCAGTATTTTCTATTTTATTTTTAAATTTTGAGACAGGGTCTCATTAAGTTCCTGAAGCTGGCCTCAAACTTGCAATCCTCCTGCCTTGGTCTCCTGAATCACTGGGATTGCAGTTATATGCTACTGCACCGAGCCAGAATTTCCTTTTAAAGGCTGAATAATATTCCATTGTAAACATTTGTTTATCTATTCTTCAGTCAATGGATCCTTGAGTTGCTTCCATGTTTTAGCTGTTGTGAATAAAGCTGCTATGAACATGGGTGTACAACTATGTCATTGATATTCTGTTTCCAGTTCTCCTGGGTACATACCCAGATGTTGAATGGCTGAATCATATGATAATTCTTTTTAATTTTTTGCAGAATCATCTTCTACAGTGGCTATACCATTTTACATTTGTACTACTAATAGTGCATTCTTGCCAACACTTGTTATTTTCTGTTTTGTTTTATTTTTGTGCTGTTTTAAGAATAGAGCCCATAGCCTCATGAATGGTAGGCAAACACTCTACCACTGAGCTACATCCCCAGACCATTTTATTTTTTTTTTGTTTTGAGACAGGGTTTCAGTAAGTTGCCCAAGCTGGCCTCAAACTTGAGATCTTCCTGCCTCATCCTCCTTATTAGCTAGAATTATTGGTCTGTGCCACACCTGGCTTCTTTCTACTTTTTGATAGCAGCCATCCTAATGGATTTTCAATGATATCTCATTGTGGGCCTTTTGTTTGTGTTTGTGTGTGTGTGTGTGTCTGTGTGTGTGTGTGCGCGCGCGCGTGCGCTGGGGGTAGAATCCAGGGCCACTGCGCTACACCCACAGTCCCTCATTGTAGCTTTGATTTACATTTCCCTACTGTTTACATGTTGAACATACTCATATACTTACTGGCCATTTGCACATCTTCAGAAAAAATGTCTTTGAAATCCTTTGTTCATTTTTTAACTTAATCGGTTGGGGCTTTTTTCTTTATTTTTTTTTCTTTTTCTTTCTTTCTTTTTTTTTGTAATGGGGATTAACCCAGGGACACTATATCACTAAGCCACATCCCCAGCCCTTTTGTATTTTTTATTTTGAGACTCGGTCTTGCTAAATTGCTCAGGGCCTTGCTAAGTTGCTGAGGCTGACCTCAAACTTGTGATCCTCCTGAGTTGCTGGGATTACAGTGTGCACCACCATACCCACCTTTGTTTGAAGTTTTTGTTACTGAGTTTTAGGAATTCTCTATACATTCTGGAAAATAATCCCCATCAGAAACATTATTTGCAAATGTTTTCTCCCGTCCTTTGGGTTTATGTCTTTTTTACTCTTTAATGTTTTTCTTTTTTTTAATGTTTTGTTTAGGTGAGCACTCTACTACTGAGCCACAACCCCAGTCCCTCTTAAATCTTTTTTGTTGTTGGTGGTGATGGTATTGGGGATTGAACCCAGAGGCACTTCTGAGCTGCATCCCCAGCCCTTGTCCAGCCCTTTTTAAAAAAAGTTTACTTATTGTATTTGTTTTGTTTTGTTTTATGTAATGTTGAGGATCAAATCCAGTGCCTCATACATGCCAGGAAAACACTCTACCACTGAGCCACAGCCCCTGCCCAGCCCCTTTTACTTTTTATTTTGAGACAGGGTCTCACTAGGCTGTTAAGGGCCTTGCTAAATTGCTGAGGCTTCCCTTGAATTTTTGATCCTCCTGCCTTGGCCTCCTGAATTGCTGAGATTACAAGCATGCTCCATTATGCCCACCCATCCTCTTTTATGTATTTTTAATAGTTACACTTTCCCCCAGAACATTAAAATAGTTAAAAATTTGAAAGTAGAGGCTGGGGTTGTGGCTCAGCAGTAGAGTGCTCACCTAGCACGTGCGAGGCCCTGAGTTCAATCCTCAGCACCACATAAAAATTAATTAATTAATTAATTAAAGGTATTAAAAAAATTTGAAAGTAGGTATATTAAAACTCACTTCTTTTTCCAGTGCTGGGGATTGAACTCAGGGTCTCACATTGCTAATAAGCAAGCACTGTACCACTGAATTATATCCCCAGCCCAAATTTATGTTATTTTAAGCTTAAATAGCTTATTTCTACCTAAACAAGAATTATTATAATTTTATTTTCCTGGGTTTAATGGAGACAAAAATCATCAATAATATTTTTGAAATTTGTTATGTGAAAAAAATAATCACTAAAATTTTTCAAGCCAGGCATGGTGGTACTGTAATCATAGCTACTTAGGAGGCTAAGGTAGGAGGATTGCAAATTTTAGGCCACCTTGGGTAATTTAGTGAGAACTTGTCCTTAAATAAAACAATAAGGCTGGATGTTGTGGTGTAAACCTGCAATCCCAGCAACTCATGAGGCTGAGGCAGGAAGATCACAGTTCAAAGCCAGCCTCAGCAATTTAGCAACACCCTAAGCAATTTAGTGACACCTTGTTTCAAAAAAATAAAAGGGGTTGGGGAGGGCTGGGGCAGCAGCTCAGTGGCAAAGTACCTGCCTTGCATGCATGAGGCACTGGGTTTGATCCTTAGCACCACAAAAAAAAAAAAAAAAAAAAGAAATAAAGGCATTCTGTTCATCTACAACTACAAAAAAAATTTTAAAAAGGGTTGGGGATATTGCTCAGAGGTTAAGCCCACTTAGGTGCAATCTCAAATAAATAAATAAAACAATAGAGGGGCTGAGAATGTAGCTCCATTGTAGATCACTTGCTTAGCATGCGCATGTGTGAGGCCCTGGGTTCAATCCCCAATACCAAAAATGTTTTTTTCATAAAGCATTTCGTAAGGAGCACACATTTTCCTGCGGGGACCTCTATGGGCATGGAAAAGGAGAGGAGTAGTCTGGAAGACCCATGAATCAGAGGCTTATGGGTGTGCACTCAATACACAACAGAGCCAGTGACCTGCAAAACAAGGGACTCAGCCACAGGATTCTGGGTCTACAGGTTGACCAAGCACATGTGATGCTGGACCAAGCACATGTGATGCTGCATCAAGCCCAGACCACAGGGAAGTATTGAATGAGCTGCTAGCAGGACCTTTGGTCACTTGGGGCAGATATCCAGGTGACAGATAGATAGATACTTGGGGCTGAGCAGAAGGCAGATTGTAGATGGCATCCTCAATGTCCAGGTGGATGGTGGAACTGTGAACTTGCAGGGGGCTGGAGAGGGGAGAAGGGAGGGTAAGGGTACACAGACCTGAGCAGGGGAAGAAAATTAAATAGCTCAGGGAGCCAAGTACACATGTGGGAGCTATACTGGTGGTGTTCACAAGCCTGAGTGAAGGAGTTTGGGGCTTTCAGGCCAGTGGTACAGAATCCCTGCTGGGTGGTCTTTGGGTCTGCTGAGCTGGAGCTATTCATCTCTACTAAGGACCTTCTCCCCAAGAAGTTTATTAGAATGAGGTGGTGCAGGGGGTAATGACAGGGATTTAATGGGCAGAGGCAAAGGAGAGGATAGGAGGCCTTGAGTAGCTAGCTGGAAGTGTTAGGCTTCAGAAGGAGGAAGGTA